AAAACAAATTTCTCGGTGTACATTGAGGAACAAAGCCTCTCCTGTCTCCTCTCCCAAGACATACATTTTAGGTAACTACCATAACTTGGAAAGGTTGTTGTATCTCTTCCATGTCATGTAAATGTTTGACTTAATTTGACTCTTGTTTGTGTAATTGTTTGACTGCAATGATGTCATTGTGATTTTTGTTCATAAATATTACCTTATAATTTTGGAGAGAATGGTGGGAGTGGTTGCTGGCTGATTAGCAATAAGATTATATAACCTTAAATTACATAGAAGGGTTTCTGTGGGTGAGACAGCAGATAGTTAATGAAAAGTAACTTGAAGTTTGACAGCATTTTCTTGTATTTGTACAATCTGCTTTAAAAATATGTACATGTATAAAAATACAGAAATGCCATTTAATATTTATAATAGCTATTTCCACACACACTGGTTTTTAATTTATATAAAAAGCAATGAGCACTGTTTTTGTGTTTTCTTCTAGAGTGCATTTCTGTTCTAGTCCTGGAAGTAAAAGACACACCATTTTGTGGCATAAATGTAAGACTTCCTCTTGTATGCAGTGAAGTACTACTTTCCTTTTTACTATAGATAGTGATGTTGCTAAATCATACTTCAGGTCAACAGCAAGATGACAGATACTTCAGGTCATTTTTAAAAATTGGTTAATATATTTTATTGTATTTAGTTGGTTTTGAATATGTTTTTTCCTTATGACTCCGATTAAAACTATCACCACAACCTCAGATTGTATATATCTAAAATGATTGATAATGTAACCAACACTGTTCAGAAATTAGGATCATCTATCAGTCTACTTAGAAATTAATAGAAAACCTTTCTGATACATTCCTACTTTTAGTTGAGCGTAAAAACTGTTCAGAAAAAGAAAAAAGAAAAGAGGATTTCCTTAAGCACTTACCCTTTAGAGCTCAAGGATGAGCCAGAAAAAAAAGTATATAAATAAATTACCTTACATGAGAGTAAGAATAAATTTCTCTGATCCTGTGTGTATAATCCATGACAAATTAAAAGATGGTGTCTGTCCAGAGCTACCATAAAAAAATCAGCCACAAACTCAGTGCCTTAACACAATAAAAATGTATTCTCTCACAGTTCTTAAGATTAGAAGTTTAAAGTCAAGCAGTTGGTAGGATTGGTTCCTTCTGGAGCTCTGAGGGAGAATTCATTCCATGCCTCTCTCCTAGCTTGTGGCAATTGCCATCAATCCTTAACTTTCCTTAGCTTGTAGCTGTATCAGTCCAAGCTCTGCCTCTGACTTCATGTGGCCTTCTTACAGTGTGTTTATGTGTTTCTGTATGCAGATTTCCCTCTCATAAAGACAACAGTCATTAGATTCAGGACCTATCCTAATTCAGTATGACCTCATCTTGACTTGAATACATCTACAAAGACCCTATTTCTGAATAAGATCATATTCTCATGTACCAGGGACTAGTACTTGAATGTATCTTTTGGGGAGACACAAACCCACTACATAAAATACATAATGAAGACTAGAATATGTGCCCAAGGAGTCTTGCTTTAATTATTATATGATGCAGAAAGAACAATTATGTTGAATATGATCCAGATATGTTTTTATATAAATATTAGTTGACAATACTTATAGTTTTGCCACAGATAAAAATTATATCATTAATGTTACATTTCCTTGATATAGCAGATTCAATAAAGAAGCAGTAACTCTCTGAGAAGTACCATGATGATCTAAAAATGTTTATTTCCTCATGGTTGTGAGAAATACTGGCATTTATTTTTAATGTTGTGTATGTTGAGAGATTCAGATGAAAATAATCTCTGGCTGTGTGGCAAAAGTAATGCTGTGTGTTCACCACCCAGTTCCTCTTCCCTGGCGTATAAGAGGTCAGTTATTCCCCAGGTTCCTTGCACTTAGCTGTGTATCAGAGTCTGGCCAATAAACTGTGGGTAGAACCACTTGTAAGTTTGGCCTTTAAAAATATTCTCTGTGAGCCCCCTTCCTCCTTTTCCCTGCTAGGGTGACTTTGGGACCACATTTCCCAGTGGCATAGTTATCAGATGGAGGAGGGTTTCCTGGCCATACTGAGGTGTGATGAGAGTAATGAATGAACTTGAGACTGTGCTAATGCGTCATTCCCCAGCTTGTTTAATGCAAGCTATGGGTCATGTAAGTTGTAGCGACAGCCAACTGTATGAAAACAGCTACCTGTATTTAACACCCCTGGAATACAAAGTCTGACTGTGACATACTCATTTTCATATTTCCAGCATATTTCAAGGTGCCTGGTTCATCATAATACTTGTTTTTCCTTACACCAGGAATCTATCACCTTCAAAACTCAGCCACCATATTACTTGTAATGAAAACTCATTATTTGATATGTTATATTTTTTTAACTACTTGAAAGAGAAAAGTAAGCAATAATAACAGCAAAAAAACGAGTGTCTCCTGTGTGTCATGCTCGCTGTTAAATTGGTAAAACATGTTTACTTTAGAGGAAAAGATAGTGATAATGCACTCCAGATTTTGGAAGCTAGCCAATAAAGTTAGCAAAATATCCTGCAATATCTACCAGTTAGTTATTAGTTATTTATTCATTGAAAAGGTTATCAATGTAAAGGAAAAGATCATCTAGAAGAAACCTCATCAGTTCATAAAATATTCTTAAAAGGAGGAAAAGACTTCAGTCACCCACTGTAGCCTGACCAAGAGCAGTAGCTGTTTTGTGACTTAGCCAGACCTAGAATGTAATATGAGAGTTCAGGGCCAGACATCTTAGCAAATACCAAATCCAGTTGGGACAGCTGGGGGAGGAGGTTTGGTGGGCTGTGCAGAAAGGGAAATTAACGAAAATGGCTAGAGAAGTAAGAAGAACAATTATAACTGACAGATCTGAACAAATAAGCTAAAAATGAGTCAGACCTTCAGTGTGATGACAACTTTGACAAGAATTTTTGAAAGTGACAATGAATGGAAAGCTTGATGCATATAGATCAACACAACTGTTAGAGCCCCCAAGGGGTTAATGCATTTAGCTAAGGATTGTTTTATATACATGTTAACTATCAAATGCTTCAATAAATAACTGATAAAAATAAAACATCATTTTCCTATTCTTGAAATGAAGACACTTCTCTAGAGCTCAGTTAGTCATCCCAGTGTAAGTCGAGTTCATACAGGTGAGAATGATTTGTGATTGCTAAGTGTGACAATAGTGTGGCAAAGGTTTTAATGATTGTGTTCCAGCTGCAAACAAATTTTGCAAATTCCTTTGGAAAAATACAAAATAACTCCTATGCTGATTACATCTCATTCTTATCCAGCTCCCCAACATCTTTTTTTCTTTTAGATTCTCATCCAAGAATATTTTTTTCATTGATTTTTAGAGAGAGTAGGAGGGAGAAAGGAGCGGGGGGAGAGAGAGAGACATCGATGTGAAAGAGACATAGATTGGTGCCTCCAGCAGGCACCGGGTCAACAAAGGTATGTGCCCTTGACTGGGAATGGAACCTGAGACCATTTGGTTCGTGCCAACTCTCTAACCACTGAGAAAACTGGCCATGGCCCATCTTTTTCTTTTTTTAATCTAATGAACTCATTTTTGTAATAATGTCAGTGTAATTTCTTTTACAATAATCTATAATTCAGACTTGTCTTTTTTTTCTATTAAAACAATTTGATGAATTTTAAAATTAAATTGTATGTCCCTAGCATTTAAAACGACCAGAATTGGGAATTTCAGAGGGTAACTGGGGGCAGCATGAGAATAATGTAGATCATTGGGGTGGGACCCTCTTAAAGTTTATGCATCATGTCTGGCCATCCTATAGAAATAAAAGAGGATTTTATTAAAAAGTTTTTTAAAAAAGCAGTCAGTAGTCAATATGTATTTCTTTAGAAATCTAAAATTCTTTAGATATATATTTTTACTGATTTCAGAGAGGGAGGAAAAGATAGAAATATCAATGAAAGAGAATCAGCAATAGGTTGCCTCCTGCGCACACACACACCCCGCCCAGGGGATCGAACCCGCAACCCCGGCATGTGCCCTGACTGGGAAATCGAACAGTGACCTCCTGGTTCATAGGTTGACACTCAACCACTGAGCCAGGCTGGCTGGGCCTTTATTTTTAGGTAAGGATTTTAGTCCTCTTTTCCCACCCCCTTGTAATTGTATGAACAGAGAGTGGAGAATTCCTGTTTTCTCTCCTTCATGATGATTAGAAAATATATGGCTCTTCAGACAAGTGTTAAAAACAAAATTATTCATGATGCTTATTCAAGGGTAGACTTTTTTTCAGAACCATCAAGATAGGTATCGAAACCATTGCTATGGACTCAACTCGAAATACAAGGAAAAGTGGGAATTTATAGCCAAGGAGAGAGGGGGCTGTCAGTGGCTAGAAAATCACTAAGAGGAAACATTGCAGATAAGGGAGGATTCGGCTAAACTGACCTAACAAGACTCTCGGTGTGGGCAGGCCAGGATGTCAGACCTCACCTGGGGAATGGTGGGCGAGGAGGGACCGGTCAGGAATGGAAGGATGGTCAGATAGCCAGAGTGGGGGATTTTGGCTGACCTGACTTAGCAGGATTTCTTGCAAAAGTCAAGGAAATGTAGAGATGAACAAGGAAGACCAAAAGTCCAGGTGTATTTGAGAAGAATTCTGAGGAGCCTGAGTATAGTTTGGTCAAGGAGAGAATCTGCCGCCAGACAGAAGTGAACTGGGCCTTAGGAAAATGGCAGACTGTCCTGAAGCAACTCTGACCACAGAAAAGTCAGGTCACCTATGCAATCCTCAGTTTCCCTCACCTGTAAAATGGAAGGTTTGCTTTAGATGCTATTCAGGTTCTTTCCAGCATTAACCTTTTGGGATTCCAGAAGAGGAGAAAGACTTACTCGGAGACTTTTTTTCCTCTTAAATAGGAGGACGAGTTAGAACTCGGGGGGTGGGGGGGGGGGGGTAGGGGAGGGGAGATAGAGGCTCAGCAGCTTCCTTTCTCCACTCAGCTCTCCTCATTTTGCCTGGGCACTTGCTGGCTTCATGTCACCAGAAGGCCACAGGCATCTCTGTCTGTTTAGACTTTCTTGCAGTAGCCACCAACACGAGTCGTTCATTTCGCTTCATGGTTAAACTATGGGTCAGTTCTAATTCAACTATATGTCTACACCTTGGTTTTTGGAATGAATCAGTAAACTTTGAGGAGGGTGAGAAGGACAGGGAGTGGTAAATGCATGCGAGTGGAATCAATAGCTTCATCGACCTCGGAAGCAGTCTGTAAATTGAAAGAGGCAAAAATCATCACAGTCCCCATTTCTCCACTGAGATTCTGTGGGAGGGCCTGGAATCATTGAGGCTAGAAAAGTACACCCATCAGATGAACTGGTAAATGATTAGGACCGAACAGAAGAATTCTGCTTCTGCATAAAGGCTGTGACTTCCTGACACTGTTTGTTTCACTGACAAATGTTTTCTGTCCTCAGACAGAGCTGAGCCCCTGTGAGAAGCCTGTCACAACTGGCTTTGTCAAGAACACCGCTTAGCTACTCACTACAATTTCTCTAAAGAGGGCTGCCTGCCTTTCCCCAGATGGACATAGGGTGCTGCGTCCACAAGGAGGTGGGATCCATTGTTCTTCCCCAGCAATGGCTTCTGGGGATTTTAGCTTAATCAGTCTCCATTTCAGGACCTAGAGTTAGCATTCTCTCTCCCACTCACTTTCCCATCAGTCCCACAGCAGAACACATTCCTTGTCCAAATATCTGCAACCCTTGATCACTAATCTTCCCACCAGCTGTCAGTGAGAGGCCTGTTAAATGTTCCCATCTTGAAAGCCTTCTGATGGAGACAAATGGGAAATAAACTTGCTGCGAAGCAGCTCCTAGTACATTTATGTCTCTCGATTCCCTTTACTTTCTCTCTGCTCTGAGGCTTGGATATAGAATGGAGGCTGGTTTTCAGTGACAGATGGCTGAGGATAATCTCCCATTTTGTCATCAAGTTAACCCTCAGAGGGTCTTGAAAAAGACCTTTTTTCTTGGAAAATTAGTGGCTTCATATATCCCTGCTTTTGACCAAGTAGAACAAGCTTCTCCTTTCTGATTTTCGAAATAGAAAACATGCCTTTCCTTTTAAGCTAACCCACCTTGAAAAACACTAAATGAAAAACACTTCATTTTGTTTTATTTATGATTCCGTGAGTGCCTTGCTCATTTTAATTAATGATGATTTGCCTGTGTTTGAGCCCTAGCAATAAATTCTAAAACCGGGCTATTAAAGATAATCCAATTAACAAACCCAAGAAAGATGTCTTCCAGAGTAATTTGTTGATATTTTTACTGAGGAAGAAGACTAAATGAAGTACAAGACTGAAATTACTTTTTAAGGTTGGTACATGGGGACTATACAGGGGACTAAAAAGACTTTAAATCTTATACTGGCTAAGAAATTACAGGTTTATATCCAGATGAAGCATTTGTTTCGTTCTTTGAACAAGTTCAGCCAAAGGAGATTATGATTTAATGAGTGAAGAGTACTTGTACTATGTGTTGGAGTAAAGCAGAGAGAACATCACTGAGACCAATTGCTGCCAGCCTTAATCAATAGATAGCAAAGAAGCCAAAGACAAATGATCAATAGGGCAAAACCCCGGCGTTTATGATCATGTAAGAAGAATGAGAGTTAAGATGATGCCAAATATGAAAGGAGGCAGATTGTTAGTTCAGAGTGAAGGGAATGTTGAAAGCAGACAAAAACGTAACCTGGGCTGATATCTGGACTAAGTCACAACACACTTAGGTAAAAGCCCTCATATTTGGGTTTGATGGGTGGGTAGGGGGTGTTGTAACAGGACACAAGACCACATAAAGGAGAATGGGCCTTTATGTGGCTTTGGATAATAGTGACTCCCATTCTCTTTCATTCGTCTTTGCATAACGACAATGATGGAGAAAAAAAAAAAGAAATATATATATATATATATATACTAGAGGCCCAGTGCACAAAAATTTGTGCACTCAAGGGTGGGGGGGTCCCTCAGCCCAGCCTGTGCCCTCTCGTAGTCTGGGACCCCTAGGAGGATGACCACCTGCTGGCTTAGGCCTGCTCCCCAGGGGATTGGGCCTAAGCTGGCAATCAGACATCCCTCTGGAAGTCCAACTTGCCAGCGGGGAGCAGACCTAAGCTGCAGTCAGACATCCTTAGCACTGCTGAGGAGGCAGGAGAGGCTCCCACCACCACCGCTGTACTGGCAGCCAACAGCCTGGCTTGTGGCTGAGCAGAGCTCCCCCATGTGGGAGCGCACTGACCACCAGAGGGCAGCTCCTGCATTGAGCGTCTGCCCCCTGGTGGTCAGTGTGTGTCATAGTGACCAGTCAGTCCCAGTCTTTCTGCTGTTAGGGTCAATTTGCATATTACCCTTTTACTATATAGGATAGAGGCCTGGTGCACGGGTGGGGGCTGGCTGGTTTGCCCTGAAGGGTGTCCCGGATCAGGGTGGGGGTCCCGCTTGGGTGCTTGGCCAGCCTGGGTGAGGGGTTGATGGCTGTTTGCAGCTGGTCACACCCCCTTCAGGGTGGGGGTCCCCACAGGGGTGCCTGGCCAGTCTGGATGAGGGGCTGAGGGCCGTTTTCAGGCTGGCAGGCAACTGAAGCTCCCAGCCTCTCCTTTTTTTCTTTTCTTTTTTTTATTCTGGGATTTATTTACCTTCTGTAATTGAAACTTTGTTGCCATCATTGGAGCTGAGAGCAGGGTCCTGCTCGCTCCAGCTCTGAGGCCACGGCCTGCTGAAAGCAGGTATCTGGGGTTTGTTTAGCTTCTATAATTGAAACTTTGTTGCTTTCGGAGCTCAGAGCCGGCCGCAGCAGGCAGGGAACCTTGGCTTCCTCCATCACTGGAGCAAGCAAGCCTCCTGCTCGGTTCAGCTGCGTGGCTGCCGGCCGCCATCTTTGTTGGTGGTTAATTTGCATATCTCCCTGATTAGCCAATGGGAAGCGTAGTGAAGGTACGGTCAATTACCCTTTTGTCTTTTATTAGATAGGATATATATAGAGAGAGAGAGAGAGAAAGAGAGAGAGAGAGGAGAGAGAGAGAGAGAATGTAGGAAACCTGGATTGCATGGAATCCTGAACAGGGGCAAGCCATTTCTGAGGGTGTTAACAATCTTTCCCAAACCGCTCTCCTATACTGAACATTTTCCTTACATGGTTCCTATAAAGAAAGGAGCTTGCCCTTAGAAGATGAGATTGAGGGGGTGGCGTCTCTAGTCAGAAATGCCATGAAGGGCAACATCTAAACATGTAAAAATAAACTCTGTATACTCATCCATACATCCCTCAAATCTTGCAGATGAGCATTCACAGAGACACTATTGTAAATAGCATTTGGGGCCTATATCATGGATCAATTTTGTTACAGGTGAAATGATCTTGTATGTACTATTATTGTTAAGGATCTGGCTACCATTTCCCACATTTTCTTCTCCAAAGTAAAAAACAAAAACAAAACAACAACAACAAAAAACCCCTCTAACTGATTTACAAATTTTGGGACCCCCCCCCCCAAAGTGGGAATTATCTGTCCTCAGATTTGATAGTCTTTAGGTGCTGGTGAGACAGGTGAAGCAGCAGCAATGCAGCCTAACTCAGGAGCAGAGCATGCCACGTACCCATTTCTCTTTTTTTAGGCCATGGTGCCAAGACTCCTGTAGGGCTTATTTTAACTTTGTTGTTTTGTTCATCAAATGAATGTCAAGATGCTGAGTGTATAAATGCTGAGGACTCAAAACACATCAGTAAGGAGAAAAATATCACCCCCACTTCACTACCCAGACAGAAATAACCACCAGTTTACTTGCATATTGCCTTGTGTGAGAGATAGCACTCTTATGTGGTATTTTCCATATTCATTAAAAGTTGTTCACAAACAACATTTGAAAGAATTTCATCTTATTCTGCATTAGGAAGATCATCCTGCATAGACTATGTGGATGAAAGCAGGGCTTCTGTGGAAAGTCACATCACAGTGTGATCTGATCCTAAATTCCTAACTGGGCAGGTCTATCACTTCAAAACTAATTTAGAGAAAGATAATTCTTGAAAGACAGAGGAGCTGATCTTTGAGCTACTCATGAAAAGTGTTTAACGTGATGTCTGTACCACAGTAAGGGCTTAGTCAATCCTCACTAACAAACAGGAGTCTTGGCACAGTCAAGGGGAAGTGTCAGGAGAAGATGGCCAAATATTGGGAAAAAATAATTTTGAGGAGGAGGTCTTGCTCAGTCATCTCATGATATAGAATTCATTAACATGAAGACGGAGAAGGGGCCTCTAGATCTGACAAGGAGTTCACCAGTGACCTTGAAGATAGCAACAGTCAGTGGAGTGGCTGAGTTGGAATCAGATTCCAGTGGTCTAAGGGAAAGAATGAACGCATGAAGGAAATTTTTGCAGGAGAAATCAGGGCAGATTAAGATAAAATTCTTCAGGATGGCACAGAGTCAAACAGATAAGGAAACAGTTACTGTGGTAACTATGTAAAGATATATGCAATGATATTAAATGTTGGTTGGAAGGGCTACGGCATGTAGTTCTACTATCATCTCAAGAATGCATAAACTCGGGACTTCCAAGGAATCAAATTGAGATTCTGGATTTATGGCTCTGCAATGAATTCACTGCCAGGCTAGGCAATTAATTAACTCTCCTGGGTCTCGATCCTTCAACAGATAATACCAAATACAAAGAGTAGTATAATACTATATCCCACAACCATTTATCATAAGAAATATATGTGTACAGTAATTTATATATATATACTAGAGCAGTGGTCACCAACTGGTGGCCCGCAGACCAGTGGTGGTCCGTGAGGTCTGAAAGGTTGGTGACCACTGGTTTAAGGAAACCTTTGGAGCAGTGGTCGCCAACCAGTGGTCTGTGAGGTCTGAAAGGTTGGCAACTGCTGTACCAGTGCATGAAATTCATGCACAGGTAGAGTCCTTAGGCCTGGCTGGCGATCAGGACCAATCTGTGGGGTGACTGACAGGGAGATCAGAGGGGCCTCCTGCTGGCACCTGCCTTGGCCGGCCTGGCACCGCCTGCTCGCCGGCCCCATTCCCTGCTGCCACCACTGAGGGGTGGTGCTGACCCTCTTGCTGGCCAGCCCCACCCCCTGCTGCCCACTCACCAGCTGGCTTTGCCCCCAGCTGCTGCCAACGCCGTTCACCTCCCTCTGCAGGGTGACCAGCAGGGTGATCAGGGGGCCTCCGCTGGCAGCTGCCTTGGCTGGCCTGGGGCCTGCAGGCTGGGGGCAGCTCCTGTGTTGAGCATCTGCCCCCTGGTGGTCAGTGTGCATATAGCGACTGGTCATTCCAACAGTCATTCCTCCGTTTGGTCAATTTGCATATTAGGGTTTTATTATACAGGACTAGAGGCCTGGTGCACGAAGTCATGTATGGGTGGGGTCCGGCTGGCCTGCCCTGATGGGGGCTGATCAGGCTGGGTCGGCGGGGAGAGGATGTGGGAGGTTGGTCGGCCAGCCCCGCCCCCCGATTGGGGTGTGGGGGGCTGATCGGGGGCCAGGCCAGCTGGGGGGGCCTCCCCCCGATCAGGCTGGTTTGGCCAGCCACAGTGTGTGTCATAGTGACCAGTCGTTCTGGTCATTCTGGTTGTTCCGGCATTCCGGTCACTTGGCTTTTATATATATGGAAGATATAAATCATATATACAATCAAGTAGATAGAAAATGCAGAAGACAGAAGTAAAGGAGTGCTAGTGTTATTAGCCAAGTGAGTGTCACAATGATTGCTATTATGTATTACTTTCTACTAATGGTATTATATATTCTCGTTTTTCAAATTTCAAATGTTGGGGCTCTGGACCTGGTTAATACCGGAATAGGAAAAATCAGTATTCTTACCAGTGTGTCATCTCTGAAGCAAAGCAGTGATTTCAGCAATGAAGAGGTCACAGTAGAAGCAACAGAATAATAATGCCTCAATAATCAGTGAAATTATCTTGAGATAATGAATGTTTCTAGGAGCAGCAGGAGTGGGGAATGAAAGGAATTAGGTGATAAAAATGGCCCTAACTAGATTTTCTTGTAATAGAGTTATGAAGTAATCTGAATTAGTTGAGGTAGAATACAGGGTAAAAATCTTAATTCTGGTCATGTAAAATCTCTCTTCTCTGAGAGCATCTTTTATTTTGTAATTATTTTTAAAGGAGAAGGTATGCGAGCGTTGGGCATTTTTATTTTTATTCTTTCCAACTTATTTTTTGGCCTTCAGCTACCTACTCAAGAGTGAATAAAGTGCCGAAACCAGTTTGGCTCAGTGGATAGAGCGTCAGCCTGCGGACTGAAAGGTCCCGGGTTCGATTCCGGTCAAGGG